TTATATAAATTTTTTTTTCTCCAATGGCAGGCACTGAATTTGAATCTTTGCCTATACTATGCCAGAATTGTTGCTCATTTCGCGTTACCCAGTGGGCACCTGTGAACCAAAGTCACGGAGGTGAGCAACATTGCCCACGCCACACTGCCACAAACCCGTTTATAGGGTGGGCCACATTCACACATCATACACACACACAACAGAGGACAGCACAAAGAGAGAGAGAAACATCCATGCACAGAGCGGGATTCGAACCCGCAGCCTATGGCTTCGCAATCAGGCACGCTAACCGCTCGGCCACCTGGCCGGCAGGGTTAACCTATTGAAGATATGATAACCTATATGTTTACCTATTGAAGGGTTGAGGGATCCTTCAGCATTATTGGTATGCACTGCAGCAGCACCCAAGTATGGGTTGATGTGAAATTCGTGCTCATCGTGTTGCACATCAGTCTGGCCAGAGTGAGGGTCCACATTGGTGGCCTGGGCGGAGTGGCGGATGGTGTGGCCCCCGAGAGCATCCTTGCCAACTGCTGTCTGCTGTTTTAGAGCTCCAGTGGGACTTTTCACATCAGTGAGGGTGTATGAAATGTCACCTTTGGTATGCTCAGCAACAGCAACTGTGGGTGCAACAGGCACTGCTTTGGCAACGATGGGATCATAATGGTAAGATGATCCAAGAACACTCAAACCAGGATAAACTGCGGGATAATTGGGAGTTGCTGCCACGCAGGTTAGCAAAAAGGAAAGAACCTATAGTGGATAAGTTGAAAAGTTTGAATGTTAATTAAACATATAAACAACAAAATAAACATATCAATGTGACCACTAAGCTGTAGAAATCAGTTATTTTATATTATATAAAGTACAGGGCCTGGAATTATTCAAAATTATCAACTAGAAGAAAAAGGTGACGAGCAATAAAGATCTCTTCGTCCAAGAAACAACTCTTTCGACAAGGAAATTTTTAAAAAAAGTCATAGTTTAAGTGCCTTACACTTAAAGTAATGCGATTATTTCAAACTATTTATATATTTTTGCCGTGAAGAATCATCTGGGCTTCAGAACAGATAAATAACATAAATATTTTAAAAGTTATAAAACTTTTTGAAAAACCTCCAATTCGGCATTATTTTTCCTCCTTGATGAAAAATATCAAAATCACTGCCGTATTTTCATTTTTTGCAAATTTTTATGAGCCCAAGAAAAGCAGCAATAACAACAACAACAATGTTTTTGTACGCGTAATGCTATTTATTTTTCGATTTCTAATAAATCAAGCCAAAACAACGAACAAATTAGTTGATAGAATGAAGGAAACAAAATTTTTAACTTCGACGATACGGAAGCCGTTTATGCTCATATTACGTCAAAAGAACAAGAAAAACTGTTGATTTCGTTCTTTAACGTAGGAGCAAATCACTTTATCTGCAGATTTGGTTATTAAAGTAAGCATAAATGGCTTTAGTAGTGACATGAATATTAATTAGTTGTTGTTGTAGTTCATTTACGTCGCACTAGAGTTGCACAATGGGCTATTGGTGACAGTCTGGGAAACATCCCTGAGGATACATGCCATCGCAGTTTTGATCCTCTGCAGAGGGGATGGCACCCCCGTTTCGGTAGCCCGACGATCTAAACGCGAAGTCGAGCACTTTACGGTAGAACAGTTTAACTAGGACTCATAGCGCACACCCTCGGTCCCTACGCAGACTGGTCCAAGTGGTCACCCACCCGCACACTGACAGCAACCAGTGTTGCTTGACTTCGGTGATCTGTTGGGAACCGTGTCTTAACGATCAGTCCACAGCGGGACATTAATTAGTAAAAACAAGATGGCTTACAATGAAATTTATTTTTTTTTATAAATGCATCATTTTTCTAACATTTATTTTCACAAAATAAAAATAAAAAGTTGAATTATGTTCGTTAATTAAACTTTTCAATTTTTTCAATTCAATTTCAATATTTTTATTAATATAGTGTGGTTTAATTTCAGTTCTAAACTAGCAGTTCGTGAAATTAAACTCTTTTCTTTTTTTTACATTTTTACGCTGTAGCTACAGCACTGTTCACAAAGAATTCAATATTTAACTTAGGGCTGCGATGACTCAGAGGACAGAGCGTTCGCCTTCCAATGAGGTGTGCGGGTTTGAATCCCAGCGATGGCGTGTTGATACGAATTCCGCATCCGGCTTGCACCGACCACAGTGCTGACTTAAAATATTCCCCAGTGGCAGACGGATCATGTAAGAGTCCCCTTACCATCAGGCTAACCGTGGGAGTTTTTCGTGGTTTTCCCCTCCATATGACGCAAATGAGAGTTAATTCCACCTAAAAGTTCACCTCGAAGGCAAATTTCTCCCTCTACTTCATCCAGAAGTGCCCTTGTCTTCGTCTTCTGTATTGGGTTCAAAATTACAAATCTACGGAGTTGAATATTAGTAGTCACAAACACAAAATTGGGTAAGCTGTTCAACGACGGTTATTAAATATTTACCCTAAAATTGGGATATCGTTATTAAATACTTAAATTCAGGTCCCCCCCTCACGCTTTTCTTTCGAATAAATAACAGTGAGAAAAAGACAATAAAATTGTAATTTAGTCTAAGAAATTAGAAAAACAGCACTAACAGAAAATTTTTGGGAAAAAAGTAAATGCACCTGAGTTACAGCTCTAATTATCATAAGGGATGAGTTACTCTGTCTAAGATATTGGTTATTTAGTAAAAAGTATTATCAATGAAAAGGTAGACTATCACATAATATTAGTTTATTATATCTTAAAACCAGAGAGAGAAATATATTAATAAAATAAAATATTTAATCGGAAAGTCTATTCTCATTTCATCTTTTATCTAAAGCTTCTGTTTATCTTTTTGAAAAAATAATTGCTTATAGAAACAAACTAAACAAACAAGATCGGGTACTTCTTTTTCTTTCTTATTTCGTTTCTTAATGATTAGGCGAGCTCATATCCTTAGATCGAAGAATATATGAAGTACTATGAGTTTCGGAATAAAAATTTTTAGTACTAGCAATTTTAATTCAATTCCACTTTTAGAAACCAAAAAGGACCAGAAGTGTGTTTGGTGCTTGTAAAAATTAGTTCCTTTTTATACATTTTTAATATTATTGTGGGGTGGGTAGTTAACCAGTTCCGGGTCACCAATGTGGGGAGAGTTGTTATCGACAATGCCAACCTTCATCTATGAAAAGGTACTCCACCATAAAATTAAGTTGACATTGCTTATGTAGTAGTGAATAATAATTATATTTTTGCAATGGTAGATACACTACAATTATCATTATAAACTCGTTATTTACCCAAAAATAAGGGGATTACAATTAAATATTTAAATAAAGGTTTGCTTTGTTGGAATCTGACGATTATTAACATTATTTTCTTTCGAACAAATTTTTGTTTAAAAAAATAAATAAATAAATAAATAAGAGACAGATATTGAAAAATTAACATAAGAGGGAAGAAACGAAATCAATATTTTTTCATTCGAAAAATTACAAATATAATCATCTTAAAAAAATTTTAAGAATTTGGTTTATATAAGATTTATAATTTACCCATACCCTCTTGTATCTTACTATGTATAAAAATCTAATGATGGTGTCGCAGTTTTCCATTGTTGTCAATACATTTTAAAAATCATGCTGGAAAAATCACGTGGTAAGATCCAGTTTTCCCACATTAATCTTCATACTCGTTTGGTTGTTATAAGCATAAAAATTGATGCAAGTCACAAATCCATTGTATTGCTATAAATATTTTTATTTCCCTAATTTAAATGTTGAAACAACCTGTACTCACCACATTTGTTTATTTATTTATTTTTCATTTTCTTCAAATGAAGAGCTTGCAAACCGACAGAGTTAAGTAACTAAAAAAAAATTAAATACTCGTATTTAATCAAAAAGTCTATTGTTATTTTATCTCACGTCTGAAGCTCGTGTTTTGGAAAGTAATTGTCTTATAGAAAATAACGGGAACTTTTTTTAATGGTTCCGTGAACTGATACCTTTAGAACGAAGAGTAACAGTAGAAGCACAATTAAGTCTCCGAAGTTACCGAATGATATGATCTGTATCAGTTATTGAAGGACATGTTATTTCTGTTACGTGAGAATTTCAATTAAGGTGTGTCTCTTTATTCAAAAGAATCTTTTTATTCTACTCTATAAACGGAAGTTTATTTTGTGTATGTCCTTGGAATTTTACAGTAATTTATCGTAATGAGAACAGGAAACCTACAGATTCAAACCAGTTTTGTAAGGGAATGTAAACATATAAGTAATCAAATCTTGAGACAGATAATTATTAACTAGTTTTTCTACAAAATCACTTTTTATTGAATAGTGTACGTAAAACTATTTTATTCAGTTTACACATTTAAATCAAAGCCTTATGTATTCAAAATCTAAAAACTAACTTATCTTGTTATTTATTTATAATTAGAGTCAAATATTTAACCGAAGCTTAAAGATAAATTTGATAAAATGTTTAAGAGAAATACTGATTTAAATTAATATACCTCTTAAACATAACATTAAAACAGCGAATTAATTGCAGACTTATTTTTATGTTTTCTTCATTTAAGTCTAATTATAGAAAAAGCTTGAATGTAATAAGCTTAAAGAAAACACTCATAAATTTTTCTGCGAGCAGAAAAATTAGGTAGATTATTGATTTTGATGATTTCAGCGATAGAGAATGCGGATTATTATTATCATTTAAAAACATTATTATTGAACTTATTGATTATTTAACTTCGTTTAGCGAAATTATGTAGTTAAAATAAATATAATTTTAAAATAACGAAAATTTATCTACTCTCTTATGGAACTAGTGAAATTAGACAAACATAATCTTAAATTAAAACCAATATAATTATCTATATATTGATTTGTAGGATCACACGATTCATTTCTAAACTTCGTCAATACATTTCTTCAAATTCGAGTTCATGTCCACACTTTTAGTTCGAAGGTAGACCTCAACAGAAAAACAGCATTTAACAGCTTTAAACAGCGTACTTTTAGCTTTGTCTTTGTAGCATAAATCACGACAACATAACATAAAGATACGTGGGAAATCTCCCTATGGTATTTACTAACCCTTTCGAGCCGACTGTCACAAATACGTGCCAGCGTAAAACCGTATCAATCGGGGTAGAAAGATAAAACTGGTAATCGAAGTATTTCTTTAGCAGTTTATTTGTGGGCTGAGTTAAAATTCTTTGATTTATTTAATTCATCATTACTTTGTTCAAAATAAAACTATTTAGTTATACTTTGAATTAACATTGATTATATATAATTAAACGAACAATAATTAAAGTAAAAGCAAAGTTAGTCTGTCAAATTAGCAACGACTGCATTTAAGTTACCGTTTTTTATTAAATTCCAACTTGATTCTGATTTTGTACGAATGCTTTTCTGAATCACCCGTCCCCAAGGGGTTAAGTTTACATGGCAAAGTTAAAGCTTTAGAATCTCCTGTTCCTATCTATTCAGTATCAGCATTTACAAAGTTAAAGTGATGCAGTTAAAATAATATCACGTGATTAAAAAACTCCTACTTTAAGCCTTTTTTTTCTTTATTATTTTTTTTTTTACAAATAGTACTTTCCAGAACCCTGGGATCCGTGGCAGAGCTAAAAGGCTTCTGAGAGTAAAGACATTCTTATAAAATGCAAATAAAAAAGAAATCGCCATTTTCTTAAAAAATAATAATAATTTTTCTCACAAAAATGTGTTGAATAAATTATGAAAAGGACCTCGATTTGTATGGAAAAAAAATTATTAGTAATTCTATCATCTCGCTTTTTAAATCAAAATAAAATAATTTAATTCGTTAATAATGAAATAGATTTCCTCAATAACCATTTCCAACGTCTTTAGCAATTTTTCTAACTTTTCATTTCAAAAGAAACCATAATTCTATTTTAATTCTATTCATATTCTATTTTAATAATTTTCAGCTTATGGATGTACACCAAAAACGTTATTATAGCTAGACTACATAAAATTCCAGAACTGCAAATTTAACTTTCAGACATAAAACTTAATTTAAAAGATACAAAAAAAATCATTCATTTTATTACTTTTTTTATATACAAAGTAGAATTTTATTGGTTAATACATTCAAAATTGTGTTTATTTATAGAATTGAGATTTCAAGACAAAAGAAAGTTGATCATATAGGATTGCTTAGCTGGAGAAAAAAAAATAGGCAACCGCTGTTCTAAACTATTAACAGGGTATGTACTACTTTTTAAATTTTCAGATTCATAACTTTTCATGACTATCCATGACTAATTTCAAGAATTATTCATGGCTTAACGAAGTTACTATTTTCTCCAACAAAAACACAACAATAAATTTAAAAAGGCATTATAATAACATTAATTGAAATGATAGGTATAACCAAAACTGTTAGTCTCTGCATCTTCATATTTGAAGATTTTAAATTTAAAAAACAGAGTAAAGAAGGAGTTGAAGCAATAAAATAGTAGCTGGAAAAATACAAAAACAAATAATCTTTGTATTTTGTTCTTCGGAAAGGAAAGAAATACTCCTGATTTTTCTGTTCTGATTTCGGAATAAAAAAAATTAGCCAACGACTGGCTTGCTTCAGCTAGAATTGCAAATTGATAAAATAAAAATAAATAAATAATAACAAAAACTCTGAAATCACAGAAGTTTAAAAGATAACTCGCTCTAGAAATGAGTTTTTTTTTTTTCTTCATTTTTTGAAAAAACGCCATAATTTTTAAGGAACATGATAAAACATTTTATATTTAAATAAAAGATGACTGTGAGTAGGGATTTTGTTACAAATTCAGACATTCGAAACACCGTAAATTGAGTGGTTAGGGGTAATCCCTTTTTTTTTTTAAAAAAAACTACATTTTTTGGTGACCTAACTCCATGACTTTCCATTTTTTTTTTTTTTTTAAATAGTTAAAATCATGACATCTCATGACAAATTCAATACCGAAATTCATGACTTTCTATGATTTCTCATGACTTTCCAGGTGCGCAGATTTCCTGTATTAACAGTTGTTCTTACAAAGTTACAGCGGTACTTATAAAATGTTTCTCCGAAAAAAAGAGGGGACAAATATATCTACTTGTCAGTTGCCGAAACTTGAAATTTTTGCTAAAATGTTACTTTTCATGTGTCCCGTTTTGCAAGATTTGAAAAAAAACTTACCAAAACAATCATAGTTTCCTCTTCAAAATCTATCTCTTATCCACTAATGTATGTATAATGGCCTTATCAGCCATATGTCACGTTTTTATAGTAAATTAGTTATGCAGTGGCCGGCTGTCCTTCAAACATTCGAAGCGGGACCACCCCACTTGAAAGGAAGGAAGGAAGGCACTCCAGTAGATCTTGACCTAAATAAGCGTCTGTGTAAGAAAACCGATTTTTATGGGCGGGTGTTTGTTGGTTTTTGTTTACACGAGAATATTCAAAAAAATACCTCGGACAGGATAATGAGTCATCTTTAGTTTCATTTTTATAGAATTGCCCATTGTCCCCCTTTGTCATAAATTGATTGAAAATACAGATCATTGCACCCATGTTTTCTTCTTGCCAGAAATAGTTATTAATTTCTTAATTGTATACTTACATTTTTTTAAAAGCTCACGTAATGTTTCACTATTGAATGCAAGTTCACAAAAGATCAGATGTGATTTAAACATCGTAGGCGTTTACTTTTCTTTTTCTTCTTTATTATTGTATGAATGATTTTGAACTATACCTTCTAATTATTAACCTTGGTGTTGTTCCTGATTGTAGGGGTGTGGGAAAGGTGGAACATGGGAAAATACCGTTCCCCCACCTTAGTTAAGAAAAATAGCCAATTTTGCGGGCAATATACCAAAATATTGCGTGCAATATATTAAAAAAAAATGCTTTAACGTTTCAATGGACTCACTGTAAAGGTATTTATGTCGAAGAGTTAGGATTGGACGCTTTAGGATGTACGAAAAAGATTTTTTAAACCTCTTTTTGCCTAAAAGATACCTTATTAGTACCATAAAAAGATGTATCGAAAGGTTTGTGAGCAGAAAAAATATCTTAGTGGCTAATTGACTTCAAAATTACACTGATTTAAGAAAACTGCATTCCAAATTATCATTATTTATTCATTTATTATCAAACTACATAGCGTATTAGAGGGTCAACTTAGGTCCTGTTGGTCAACTTATTAGTACCTTAAAAAGACAAATCCAGAGGTATATGAGCAGAAAAATTATCTTAGTAATCAAATTATGTGTTTTCTCGCAGTCTACGGCGTGTGTCCAGATAACTTCAAGTAGGTCAAACATGAACAAATCTTCACTGATTGACTTCAAAATTAAACTGGTTGATTAAAACTTCACTTAAAATTATCACTATTTATTTATTAATTATCAAATTTCATCACGCATGATGGGGCTCCATTTTCTGCTGACTGCACTTGTCAACAGATTTTCAGTTCAATATTGACTTTTTTTCGAGTCGTGACACTAATAGTGAGGGAATGATATTTTATTTTAATGCATGTTTTTGAATCATTCCCTCACTTCAGCGTCATTCCCTCACTTTATACACTAGTGAGGGAATGACGAATTCAATAAAATTTAAAAATAACAGTTAGGCCTAATTAATTTCTGAAGTCAATCACATACAATTATATTCATACAAGAAAGCAACATATAA